ATTGCCTAGAGAGTGGAAATAAGCAAAACTGTTTAAAAGGGTCGGAGAAAAACCCTAATTTCTCATGGGAACAAACATTTTGGTTCTGGACCAGAAAAGCAATAATCCTCAAGAAGGAACAGCAGTAGGAGCAACTTTATCACAGTAGAAAAGATTATGTGTTATTGGCAGGGCACATTACATCAAAGCCAAGAGCAGATATAAGCACTTAGGTGGAAGCTTTACAAAAAAAAAACAAAAAAAAAAACATATCTTATAAAAGAAAGGACTGTCATTCATTTGTCTCTCATTTGCGTCTAATGGGCTGACAAGAGAAATATTGTGCCATTTCTGAGTGAAACACAGACTATAATTGTCAATTAACTATAAGCACTTATACAGGCTAGGTATAAGGTCCCGATGCATGATTGTCCTTGTCACAGTGGTACATTATTCATAGGTTGATTAATTTTGGCCTTGAATGTTTGACCCCTGAGTGACAAATGACAAACCACTGGGTGTCATAAAAAACACCTAATAGTGGTGATAAAATATTAGAGAATCCTCAACTCTTATGTACAGATGGAAGAAACTTGTGCCAAGGACACCACATGACAATATCCAGAATCCAGACTGAACTCTTTCTTTAACAAATGTAATCAAAGGTAGGGTAGTGGAGGTGTATGAATATATGTCGTGATAAAGCTGAATTACAAGGGAATATCTGTGAGTTTAATTATTAGTTTAATTATTGACCATACGAGTACAAGGCTGAGCATTTTAGATTCTCAGAACTGTGAGTTAACACCAGCACTGCTAAGATAGGAAATCATATTGTGATAACTACATGATGATAGATAAGTGAATATTTTTCATATGGAGCTTTTTGGATCTTTGGATGATTGTTATTACACTTACTTTCCCAGACCAATCAGTCAAATTTTCAGTTGACTAATTTCTTGAATGATGTTTGATTTGGGTTCAGTACAGGACACTGTAGAGACTATTAAAACCATATGATGCCAAGAGACAAGTCACTTACCTGTTATGGTACACCACAGCAGTGTAGGCCTCTTTAGAGAAATCTGCACAGCTGGACTTCCCAAATATCACCTGGGGGATAATAACAACAGTACTGACATTCAGTGACATTGAATCCACCTTACAATAAATTATGAGTCGCTCTTAACATGCATATTAGTAAGCATGCACACAGCTGTCGAATAATGCAGTGCTGTTTCATTGCACAGCTTTTGTCACTACATTAATCAACATAAAACATGAGGTGGTAGAAGTCCTCAGTTGCCAACATAGTAACACATTCAGCTAAGACAGAGCATAATGGTATGACTGACAATAATGAGACTAATTCATAAATGGGAATGGTTTTATCTAATAGCGTCTTGTCAAAGCGTACCGGCATTGCATTGTTTGGATCCTCTCCATTCATAAATTGTACTTTCACTGTGATGTTACGGGCAGAGCCTTGGCGGTTGGCAAAGTTAAGACTCTGAGGGTTCACATACAGCAGATTCCTGAAAAACATACGTATGTGCACCGACACAAACACAGAGAAAACGAGCCACATTATAAAATTATGTCAGATCAATAACAGTGCAAAAGAAACATGACAATTTATAAAACTCTTGTATGCATTTTCTATTATTACACTATGTCATGGAAAAGGGTAATAACTATTTTGAAAATAAATGGGTAAACGGGTGATTTTAACCTCTATAGTAACTCTCATAATACTGCAGAGTAACTTATCAGATATCTAAAAAAGCACCTTAATAACAATGGTCATTTACTGTCACTGTCCGCAACTTAAACCGTGACCTCTTACTCTGATAACTAAACCTAAGTGCTTGGCCTAGATACCTTGCATAGTTACATCAGAGTCTGCAAACTGATTGATTTAAAGGGCAATGCCACCATGGCAGGTAAACCATAATCTGATTGGTAGATGTACAGATTGTACTCCACTGTCAAAAACACTGGTTACTACACCGTTGGGAAGAAGGAGGCGACCCCAGAGTAGGAAGTGAAAAGTAACCCGGGATCAGCTGACAAACCACAATGACGTAGTCGAGTCTGTGGGGGATGGCCCCACAGAGACCACAGCTGGAACCACAACTAACAAGGAAGCGTGGGAATCTCTCTTGCCTGATGATTACAATTTCTTGTTCTGTTACCCTCTGCCAACCTTGTCCTAACAATTTTTATTGCAGCTTCAAAGTGAGTTGTTGAACTTGAACTGAAATAGACCCCAAGTTGACTTAACCGAGGCAAAGCTGGAATACCCATAGAAGCACAAATGGAAGTATCATTGATTGGACAGTTTATCTCATCACACTCAACTTAGGTTAATCAGTACAAACTCTGCATTACAACTCCACAGCTCTGCCAATACATTCCCAACTGTCAGATGGCAGCTACCCACCTTTCCCATTTTGGGCCTAGAGGCTACATAACGGGACAAAGTCATTGTTTACCGACTCTCAACATAGATCAGGATAAGCGTTTAAGATGCCTAGTGACAAAATTATTCTTTAGCAATTTAGAGCATGCAGAGAGGGGATGGTACATAAAAAGCAAGTCTGCCATGTTAATTGGTCAATACTATGTGGGAGAAAATCAAAGGCTGAAAGGTGCTGAGAAGAATGTGTAAATTCTATATTCAAAACTGGGTATGGCCACTTACAAATGCACTAAAATAAAAAAAACGATATAGTCATTTAGTACATCATACGAGGAAAAGTCATGATACATCGAGAACAAACACAGCTGTGCACAGTGGGCATCCTGTTAATTATTGACTGCTGAGCTAATTCAGTGCAATGTTTGTTGTTTGTTAAAAACTGCAAATTTGAACTTGGTCACAAAGACGGGCCAGTTGCACAGAGAAAGGCCCCAGCAGGCCAGGTTAGATTCAAACCCTCAACCCTCTCACTGTTAAGCCACAACACTAACCACTGTTCTGGAATGAAGGACATTGAATAACATTACCAGCTTTATGCTGATCAAGCATTCCTGACACATTCACTCAGTCCATGGCCAATTTTTTCTTTTCCACAGGACCTTTTCTTTCTGCTCTGTTCAAATGAAAAAACATAGCAGTCATTCATTACTGAGACCTGATGTAATCTTTCCTATAACCGCAAACGACTAGAAAGAGCTCATTAAGACGAATGTGTGGTATTTTAAGGTGCAGGGTAACAGCCAGAGTGCAAAAATGATTCCATTTGAAACCAATGCTAGCTAGATGCAATGGGGCAAATATTCCAGTATTTTCTGCTATTTGTGTCAATGTAAATGTAATAATGTTATAGTATTTCCCTTTGCAATACAAAGTGACTGATCAGTTAACCAATAAAAGCATACTTTAACAACAATAAAATTATATAACTCTACAAAAGTTGCAAAAAGGATATTTTCAATGTATCCATGCTCATATGAACAAGAACTGACTTTCAAAAAATGCAATGACTCCATGTCACAGCAATTCATTATTAAAGATCAGGACACGTTTCAGCTATATGTCGTATTTTTAGAGGTTGGTAACCAAAAAGCAAGGACTGCCAAAAGAATAAATATTTATATTCCAATTAAATACAATACCAAGTCATTTCACTGATTAGTACCCCCCCCCCCACCCCTTCCTGAAGGTGGGAAGATCTCACCAACACTGCAAGTCTGCTTGAAACAACTTACTAAGAATTTCCCATAAAGACTGTTTTTTTTACGACAGGACTCTGTACACAGGACTGATCCTTTAAAAGCTGCAAGCTAATCACTGAGCACTTAATTAGGAACACCAGCACAGATACTAATTCATGCAGTTATCCCATCAGCCAATCATGTGGCAGCAGCACAATACATAAAATCCCACAGATACAGGAGCTTCAGTTAATGCTCACAACAAACATCTGACTGGGGAAAAAATGTGATCTTAGTGAGTTTGACCATGGAATGATTTTTGGTGCCAGATGGGCTGGTTTGAGTGTTTCTGAAACTGCTGATCTCCTGCGATTTGGGATGTGGTAGAACAGGAGATTTGCACCATGAAATGTGCATGTGACAAATCTGCAGAAGTTGTGTGATGCAATCGTGTCAACATGAATATCACCAGAATTTCAAAGAAATGTTTCCAACATCTTGTGGAATCTATGCCACAAAGAACTGAGGCTGTTTTGAGAGCAAAGGGAGGCCTTCTCAGTATTAGTACAGGGCTCCTAATAAAGTGCTTGGTGAGGGTAGATTCCCTATCTAATTTCTGGTGGCACACAAGGCATAATAAACCTGAAAAAAAAAAAAAACAACAAAAAAAAACGATGAGGCTGAGCAATAAAACCAAGATGATGAGTACACACTGTACAACCTCTCTAACATCATTCAAGCCCAGAAGCTCAACCCTGGTACGGATGACAGGCCCACTCCCCTCCCCACACAAAGAGAGAAGAAGGAGTGTGAGAGAGAGAGAGAGAGAGAGAGAGAGCTTGGTGCTAGGCTGATTCAGCAGGATGCTAAATCAAACCCAAGAGCATTAATTACACACAGCATTATCAATCAGAGCAAAGTGTGTGCAGGGTTATAAGGTTTGAGATTGATCAGGCTGACGATCCATCAAAAATCTGTGATGGCCATTGTTGGCTTTCTGCTGATCAGCTAAAGCTCTGCACCACAGATGGAGAACAACATAGGGTAGGGTGTGGTATGGAGAGGGGATTGGGCTTAAATGGGTAGTAGAGAAGGGGGGGATGTATATGTCATTTGCTCGCTGCTGTGATTTGTTTGTTCAGGAGAGGGAGGGCTCGAGGGGGATTTGGGAGGAGGTGGGGTAAAGAGCTAAAACATAGTAGGGTTTAATGATCAACTAATCCTCCCCCCCTCCTCTACTGAGAGTGCAGTATATAACACAGAGCAGCCTGCTGCTCTCAAATCATTTTAACAGCAAGTAAGTCTAGGTTAGAGGCCGAGGGAGAGAAAAGAGTGTTGAGAACAGCACAAGGTAGAGGATATCAAGAGCAGTGAAACAGAGTGTCAGAAGATTACTACTATTCCACAATCCAGGACTGGACAAGGAATTCATGATGAAGCTGTTTTGTCTGTTGCTGCTGCTTACTTGTTCCATTGCTGCTCTCCCTTTGGAAACCTCAGGTAGAGAAGTGCAACCCACCCTGCCCTCCCAGGCCTTGACCACAGAACCACACCCTACCGAGGCAAAGTCTCGCTTTGCCATGCTGGACGATGTTCGCCTACTTGCAAACGGCCTCCTCCAGCTAGGCCAGAGTTTACGGGAGTTCGTCCACAAGACCAAGGCCCAAATCAACGACATCTTTCAAAAGCTGAACATTTTCGACCGCTCTTTTTACCAGCTCTCAGTGGTCACGTCAGAGATCAAGGAGGAAGAGGAGGAACTGAAGAAGACCACCAGTTTCTTGAAGGCCAACAATGAGGAGATCAGGAACTTGTCGCTGGAAATCAACTCTAAGATCAACAACATCCTGCAGGAGCGTACACAGCTTCAGAGCAAGGTGGGGAGCCTTGAGGAAAGGCTGAAGGGACTGTCACAGAGTATGGTCCCTGCTGACCAGCTTAGTGAAATCACAACACTCAAGGTAAGCAGCCAGTACCTGCTGAAGAGTTCCTTGAAGTTACTTAAAGAGTTCCTTCTTTAAGTTTGCATCAGTTAGTGGATGATATGCACACATCCAAAGAAGTGAAAAGTGAGCACATAAAAACTGCATCAAAAGTTTCCCTCAACTTGAGTTAACAGAAATGCATTTAATGAACTCTTCCAACTTGTATAACATCAACATACATGCCACTCAAATTATCACTGCACATTCCTCTAGAAAAGCACTGGGCCCAAGATTAGCCTATGTGATAACATCTGTCTGCCCCGTATTATAGTAATGATAACTTTGTTCAATTCATGTCACTCGGCAGTTGTTCCTTTAAACATTTTAAAATACAACATATGTATAGGTTGAATGGATAAACAATGTTTTCATTATGGCATTTTCAGGAAGTGATTGAAGCTCAAGAGAAAACGATAACCAATCTGCTGAATGCTGTAAAAGAACAGCATGATCAACTTGACCACCAGAAAATTAAGATTAAAAACCTGGAGGAGAAGGTAAAAAACTTTTCACAAAGATTTCACCACATTTTGCTTTTAATAGCAAAACATCTGCTATTCTGGAGAATAAATTCTTCTTTAGGAATATGGGGATGGATTCTATGCTTTTTCTAGGGCTGATAACATAATTTAACACTGCAGATTCATTTGCATTCCCTTGCAGCTCAGCGATGACAGTTTTCAAGATACAATCGATAAGCCAGTGGAGTCAGACTCTGCAGCTCCTAATATGTTTGAATATCTGACAGGAAACTCAACAGGCCTGGACACAAATGGTAAAACGATTTAATTATTTATGTATTATCAGTTGTTCAAAATGTTGGTGTAGAAACTAAATTAAAATAAAAAATGTGGATGCATATATTTTGGTTTTGTGTTGCAGACCTCCCAGTGGACTGCAGTGACTTGTTTAACAAAGGAGAGGCAAACAGTGGAATCTATGTTATCAAGCCAAACCAATCAGAGCCATTCAATGTTTACTGCGAAATGGGTTCAGGTGGGTTCAACAATCTAAGTTCTCAATGAGCCCATCAAAATACAGTTTTTGTGTTTAAATGCATTGACATTTATAAGATGAAGCATTGGCATTAATGCAAGTCTCCAATCAACGGGCAAAGAACAAAAAAACAAAAGGTTATCAAGCAAGATAGCACCAGGAATAGGTTTTCAAAAAGGGCAGACAATACGGTGGATATCCCATTCACGTTATCAATGATAAGGAAGGTTCCTGATCCTTGTGGAGACTTGTGTGTAACTTGTGCAAAAGTAACTTGACTTCAAATATATTTCTCATCCACTCTGTAGATGGAGGTTCAACTGTCATCCAACACAGAATCGATGGTTCAGTGGATTTTGACCAGACGTGGGAGAAATATGAGAAAGGCTTTGGAGATCTGGAAAGTGAGTACTTTCTTTAAACTTTGCTTTATATTCCAAATATGCCATTTTTACCAATTGCCAAAACCATTTACAACTTGATTTATACATTTTCCTTACTTGTAATAGGTAAAAAATTGATAATAAAAGAGTATAAGAAAATATACATAATTGTGTAGCACTGTCACAGACCATTTACAGTGAATGCTACCTTAACCAGCAGACCTTTTCTGGTGAGTGGGGACAATTTCAAGTACTTCCTGTAGGCCTGGTCATAGGAAATAGTGATTGTTACATATCAGCCCTTAACTGAGTAAGTGACTTCCTTTATTGTCTGAGTACACAGCAGGTTTTGGCAACTTTCCCATGAGTCCTCCAGCCATGAATTTTAGTTGCACTGCTCTTTCACAACTACCAATCCAATAATTACACCTTACCACTGACTGCAGCATGTTACCACAGGCCAAGGGAAACAAGATTACAGACACGCCTTGGGTTTTTTTTTTCATGTATGCAATGTCCAAACAAGACAATAACTGATATTTGTGTAATGCAGAGGACTTCTGGCTGGGCTTAAAGAAGATTCACAGTCTTGCACAGCAGGGAGCTTACATCCTACGTATTGACTTGGAGGACTGGAAGGAGGAGAAGCACTGGGCTGAGTACTGTTTCTCACTGGAAGGTCCCTCCAAGGACTACACCCTTCATGTCAGCCATTACTCTGGTGACCTGCCTGATGCCATGGCCAACAGCACCGGCATGAGATTCTCAACAAAAGACAGAAATAACGATAACCATCGAAACCCCAACTGCGCTCGCAATTACTCAGGTAAAGAGTTTTACAAGCTGATTCTGCAGGGCCTCCTACTGACCTGTATTGCCACCACAGCAATAATCCAAATAATGAGATGCACTGCAGGTATTTCTACCATTTTTACTTCCCTCAAACAATAGTTTGAAGGATCTCACAAGGTGATTTTTTTAGGACCAAGTATGTTTAATTTATGTCTCTTGTCTTGACCCTTTGGTAGGTGGTTGGTGGTTCAATGGCTGCGGGGACATCAACCTTAACGGAAGGTATTTGTGGCTGAGGGCAAAGGGACGCTCTGTAAGGAGGAAGGGAATTTACTGGAGGCCTGGCACAGGTCCCTCGTACTCCCTCAAGATGACCAAGATCACCATGCAGCCAGCCCTAACTGCTGAAAGCTTCAACTGAACCCCACAATTCATACCTTCTCTTACAACACCACTGGCATCTTTAGCAAACATCGCAAATATCTAATGCTCAACCAAATCTTCAAAGAAGGGGAGAATGAAGTAACACAGGCATTATATATGTCTATGAAATGACATCCTTAGTTTATCTCAAACATTAAGCTGATTGCTTCCTAACACCGTTTTGTCAGACACTAGCACTGACCAACAGACAACAAGCCAAAACTGTCTGAGGTCGGAAAATGCTGAACTGTCGCAATGACGCAACAAATGCCACGCAGGTCGTTAACCTATTGGGTCTGATCCAGCAAGGACAGTAGAATTGTCATTACGCAACATCTGCAATCACTTGCAAAATGGACATATTGATCCATAATCAGCAACCGGATTCAGTGCTGGTTGCAAAATGTCACAGTGCTGCAATAGGAGAGAAATCTATGACGAGACATTATGACTCAATTCTAAAACAATGATTGCTTGGGTATCTTTTCAGTGGACATATACATACACATATGACAGCTTCTAATCCATTTAAAAGTGCATTTTGTGTTTGTGGTGCAAAACTCTCTTGCATGTTCCCAGCAGCCACACACAAATGCAAACAGGTTGTTACATAAAGCATGCAAATTGTATAAGTCAGTGTTCAAGAAATCTCCTACATTTCAAAATGTGTTCACAGTGGTAAATTCTTTCCAATGAGGGCTTTGTCATTTTTTTCCTGGTATTTTACACTGCTTCACCCCCAGTCTCATGAAAATACATCTAAAAAGTGGGGGCAATGTCAGCAGTCAAATACAGTACAAAAAACTGGAGATACACATCTTTGCCAGTACACTGACAAGCTCTTCCCTTTGTTTGTTCTATGTTTTTTTTTTTACTCTGTAAAGTATTTAAACCATGTTCATGCTTTTATATGATTTATGCTGGTATTGTCAGAAAACACCTTTTCCATGTATTTCCTATGTTATTGAGTCATATTGACTCTTGTCCATTCTTTCAACATAACTAACTGTACTGTAAATGTGCCTCATACTAACACGTCACCCTGACAAGTAGCTATGTGCTCTAATAAATCATATTTATAACGACAAAATAAAAATCAACATGACCAAATGACTATCAAACATGACTACATTTTTTATATCGTGTTGATCTGAACCAAGGTAAATTTTATAATTCTGAACTGAACAAATAAAATTTTAATGTGAATATATTAATTCGCAATTTAAAAGTATAAAACAATGTGCTGAGTGCTTCAGCTCAGGGCCCTTATCTTATTGCTTACAGCTTATAAAAACAGGGTTTAGCTGGTAGCAGTATTCAAGTTCAATGCCCTCTGGAAGTATATTTGACAATTACTTTAAAGAAAAAGTAGTACTATATAAGAATACCAAACAATAAGACTTCGGGAAGACTGTTATCCCACATTACCTTTGGCAATACAATGATTTAAAAAGGCTGCTCAGAATAAAAATGCAGCACTGATTCACCCAGTCCCTCTTGCCTTCTGCGGTGGATCAGTTAGGTCTGGTATTAGTTAATCTACAATAGGAAGGCACCTGTTATCTTCAGACAAACAAAGCCTGCAACTGCAAGGCCGTGTTAGCAGCAACGTCCGGTAATAAGTACGTCTCTCCAAGTGTCCTTGACAAAACTAGCACTTGTTCAGATGGAATATGTACACTGGCAGACATGAACAAGCCACAGTGTTAGTCATCACTGTGACTTTGAGGTCGTTGTCCTTTACTGACTGAAGGATCACAAAAGTGTGTGTTTGCATCCGGCTCAAGAAGCATGTGGCATTTTGCCTATGTTCAAATTTAACAAATATGGGTGACTCAAAGGCAAACAACAGCTGTCCGTGGCAATATCCACCTGCAGTCCATGGATAATGAATTACTTTCCAAACAAGCAGTCAAGTAGGAAAATAACTATTGAACTTTAATATTTGTACAGTTGTAAATTTGCATGTAAGCCAGTGGAGCTATACCTCAATGACAGGCAACATCAAAGGGCTGTGCTGCAATACATTTAAAATCTAAAAGTTGCTTGAAAATTAAAACCGTTTAAAACAGCTTGTATTTTTGCAACCTAATATGAGGTCATTTGGAATGAAAGTTTGACAAATGAATATAATCTCCAGACTAAATGAACTAACCTGAAAGGTAAGACACAAATGCTTCTCTTTTCACACTGCTAATGATTTTCCGTACCTGTATGTGGTGTTTGGCACATAGACATCCCTGGCAGGGAACTCCAGGATCTCCCTGGTGGGGCGTACCCTGCTGTCTGGGTAAGGTTTAACCTGCAGGAGGTCAGGAGTCAAGCAATAGTGGGGGTTCTCTGGAGCTGGAGAAATGTCCAACTTTAACTGGGCTGTGGTGACAGCCATAGAAGACACACGGGAGTGAGTGTAGGGAAGGAAAGAAAGAGGAAAAGGGAGATCATTAATTTGAAACACAGACACACACTTCTTCATAGATATTTTAAGGGAATCATGACAAAGATGAGCGTCAGGTTAACAAGTACCAATGGGAATAAGAAATAAAAGGACACTCAATTCTGTGTATTTATACCTGTGATGGGTCTGAGTCTCCTCAGCACTGAAGACGGTCTTCTCATATCTGCTAGGAACTTATACAAATCCTCATCACTCAGCCTGTCCCCCTCCTAAAACAAGCACAATATCAAGAAAAAGAGAAAGCACAGACCATAGTAAGTCTCGTCTGTGTGCCTGCATCCCAAACTATATCATTCAGACTTGTTTGTGTGCGTGTAGTATATGCAGTTGTTTAGACCTGTTTGAAGAAGTTGGTGATGGTAAGTGTTGCAGGTCTAAAGCCTGTCAGACTACATGACTCGTCTCCACTGGTGGTCCTCTCCAGGGAACGCCTTCCCATGATGCTTGAGTTCCTCCGTTCTGACCATGAGCCTTTTCTCTCTGCACACAGACAAAAAAAAAGCTTTTAAAAAAGGCTTCAATTCTGTTTATTGACTGAATACACCAACCAGCCACAGCATGAAAACCAGTTACCAATTTTAATGGTGTGGCTAATCAGTGTATATATACATTTCTGTGATCTGTCTAACAACAGGCAAGAGAAGAGGCCATCACCACAGTCAGCATCACCTTGGGAGGTCAAAGGTTAGATAAACACCAAGAGGTCAAACTAAAAATAACACAAAGGATCAATATGGCTATATACTTTGTTTGGATGGTTTGCTCTCTGTTTGAATTTGCTTTATGCACTATTTGAGGTTGGAGAGTTGTCTTTAGATAAAGGTTTTGTGAATGATTGCGTGAATGTTAACGACCTGATGCTGAGATGCATATGTTTACAGTTACAATCCAAAGGCTTATGTTAAAAGGGAATGTCAGACCTGAGAGGCTCATCTCCAGCTCTGTATCTCTCTCCAGACTGCCAGCGCTGTTAACAATGTTCATTAGATGAATAGCGGTCCAAGCGAAGGGCATTCGGTAGCGGCCAAGACGTTGGCAGAACTGCTCTGACTGGCCGCGAAGCTTCTCCAACTTCTCTTTATTCTATAGAAAAGACATGTTAAGTTAGTTATGTCTATGATCCAAAACAAGGATACACAGCTTACAAACTATATTTAAGTGTACTTATTCAGCCATTCACTTAAAAAAAAAAAAAAAAAAAAAAAGGTTATACAATGTGCCATATTTTGGATGATAAAATAGACAGTATTGCCAGAAAAGGACTGTGGCTGACATAATGGATATTAAATAATAAAATAATGTATTACTATTGTTATAATACACTTGAGACAAAACTCTTTCATGCAGAATTCAACATCTTATTCACAATGACCATACCTTGGCAGCATCTGACTCTTTGAAGACCATGTAGGGCTCAGCACACTCTCCAATATCACCTTGCTGCAGTACCTTTTCCAGCTGGGGACAGAGTACACAGTTTATAATCACGACACTCACTCACAGCAATGCAGTGATTATACAGGACAAAGACTGACTGTCAAATTGTTTTTCCAAACATATACAAATTACCTTATTAGCCAGCATATAAGACAATGCTTTTCTCTGGAAATACATTTGGAAAAGTCGAAGTGTTATTGTATTTGAGGACTATTTACAACATGAGATATTCTTTTTGAATGGATGGAGTACTAGTGGTTTAATAGAGTTTTTTTTATGTTTCACTTCTACAAGAGAAAACGATTGATGGGGATGATGATGAGGATGATGAGGACTCTCTTTTCCTTGGACTAATACTATTTTGGGGAAACTTTCACAACAAGACTAGTAAAGTATTTTGTCAAAAACGGGTGTTGGAAAAGGGGAGATCATCTTATAATTAGCTTCATTTTACATCCAGGGCAATTCACTATTTTTACTCATTCATTTATTTGCAAAACAAGATTTGACAAGATAGAGAAAGTTATATTATAATTATCTAACCTTGATGACCAGAAAGACGTCCTGGGAGGGGTAGGTGATGGAAAATATAGCAGAGCGTGCCAGTGTAGAGATGGCCGCTGTCTGAATGTGTGGACGCAGCATGGCCTTCGTCTGCTCAGAGTTCAGGTCAAAGAAAAAGTTCTCTGATATCTGAGGGACACATACAAAAAGGTAATCGTGACATGTTCATAAGATGAATGTAATACTGTCAACACAACATGACAACCATTAGTATAAAATCACATTTTGAATGAATGGCTGTATTACTGCAGCCTGATTTCTTGCTCATAGTGGCTGACAAACATGATAACATTTCAGTGACAAATGACCCACTTGTGAAATAATGGAGCTCCTGTGCAGAGCAAAATATATGAGAGATCCACTTATCAAGGCAACTGCTACCCTCTAGTGTCTGTCAGCTAAACGGGAACAGAAGGAGGAAGATGAACTTCTTCAGATAGATACATAGTTCCAGTGTATGATTTAACTGCATTCCCACAAGCATAACAGGGCCACAACATAAAATTTTATAGTCCACTCATCAAATTCGTTTTGGCCTCCCAACAATTTTAATGGTTTGCAGAAGTGACCCAACAACTCAGGGCTGAGGAGGCACTGAGGAAAGCATAACAGCTTACCTTTTTCTTTTCCTTGACATCGTATAAGGCCAAACTAGCAAATATGGGTTCAATTTCGATCTCAAACCTTCAAGGGGAGAGAAAAAGGAGTGAGTCAGCAGAAAGCAGCAGTTAAATAAAAGAGCTAAAAGGCTTTTTTTTTCTTGAAAAAGGCTGTCCACCACTTACTTCAAGGACAAGCACTTGACGAGTAGCCTCTGGCCAAAGTGTTCTTTAGGTACTTCAGGCACACAGTGGCGTTCAATTGGCTCCTCCTATACATTCACACAGAAGGTCACATACAAAAAACAGCGAAAATGATCAAAATGACTGAACTTCTGTACGTCCATGCTGTGATGAAAAGGTCTTCACATTTAATTTATGCAAATGTATTCATTACAAAGAAACTCACTAGCATCCTGGGACTGGTTTCAAATGTAAAGATTGCAGTCAACCCTCAAAAGTTTATCATATATTGCAAAATTTAAGTTGCAAATTAAATGTTGACCATCAGTAAAAGGTTCCTGCATAGGTAGAGGAGTATACTTCACCTCATCAAGGGCAGGGTGCAGGGCGAAGAGTTCACGGTGTCGGTTGGCCTTGCGCTGGTCTTCATTGTGCCTGTCAATCTCCTCATTGGGAGCACGATCGAGCAGGTGAGGGAGGAGGGCGTCAGGGAGGGAGTTCTTCAAGTCAAAGATGCTGCAGGCCCAGCTGCCGCGTGGGGTGTCATCTATAGACATCGACCGCCGCTTCATGTCATCCTACAGAACAACCAACACATATAAATGTGAATATCTCAGATAAACCCACTCATTCAAACAATAATATAGTAAGCTCTTTTTATCGAAAAAATTTGCCACTGAATGATTTGTTACCTGGTCATCCTGGTAGCTGCTGCTGTCTGGCATCTCATCAGCCTCAAACACTTGCTTGGGCAGGCCTTTCTGACGCTCCTTCTGCTTGTCTAGAGTGTTGGGGTTAAAGCCCGTACCAAGCTTGTGATATCTGAAGGAGAAAGCAGTCATTTGGGACACAGTG